TACAATTTGCTTTCAGTTGTCAGTTTATACAACATCAAGAATAATGAGCTTACTCAGGTATGCTTGGAAATTGTAATAAAATATTAATTTTGGGGAAAAGAAAACTGATAATCATCTGGTTTAGTATTCTACAGTTATGTCTGAGATTTTTGAGAAGCTTTCTGTAATAAATGTGAACATTACAATGTATGTTAGACAAACAGTCATAGACAACCAGGCAGTAAAACACTGAAAAGGGGATATCCTCTGTATAATGTACTTTATGTGGAGGAGGAGTCCTGTCATTACACAGTCCAAGACAGCAGTGAGAAAACTGTCCTGTATCACTTCAAAGTTTCTGGAAAGTAAGTGCATCCTCATTTCTTGCATATAATATATTTTTTGAGGTTCACAGGGGTGGATTGTTTTCTCAAGCCTAATTTCTTTGCTTCCATTTTCCTAAAATGTAAAAGAGCTGGATAATTAACCCTTGCAAAATAAGTGGTAGGAAATAACTGATGCTAATATTTCATTAAGAAAGTCACATCAAGATACTTTCACAGAAGCTTCAGAGAGGTGCTCTGTGAATGAAATAGGGGGCAACGATCCAGCTGCTGACTACATGGGGAGATCAGAGGATTCACAAGCAAATCGCAGCACTGATGTTCATAGAAAGGTGCGTATGGAAAGAATCATTTTGATGTTTTTTCCCCCTCTCCTGCTAATGTAGTTTGAATGCTGAACAGTATGAAGGGGTTCTGGGAGGTTCGCTTAACAGGAACTTTTCCATAGGTTCTCATAGCCTGACACCCACCTCTAGTTGTTCTTGTCAACAGAAAAACTCAGGAAAGGAGTTTAGCTTGAAAGAAATGGTAGGAAAGGTATTTGCTTTCCCTCCCTTCCTTTCCAACTCAGCAAGCTTAACAATCTCTCTGTCACTCTTCAAAGACAGCAGCATACCATAAATTTTTCTATTCGTAACTTCTGCCAGGCAATATGGGTATGCATTTACATAACAAACCCTTTACACGTGACTGAAATCAAGAGCTGCCAATACACAGCAAGAGTAGCAAGTTAAGAATTTCCCCAAAATGGAGCAAACAACACTGTACTTAGTTTGGAAGAGCTGGGATTTGAAGGAATAGGTGCAGCACTGGCGATTTAGTTATTTGGTTTTTCACAACATGCGTATATATGTGTATGTTAGTGTGTGTGTACGCGTAATTATGAAGGAAGGGGTAAGCTTCCACAGCTCACGCCAGTGTAAGTATGATAAGGAGCGTAAACTGCGAAGTGGTTTAAGACTTCTATTTAATATATGCAAGGATATCACTTGCGAAAAAGTACTTATTGCTTATGTGAATCCATCTGTCATTATAGACCTATATCAACTAAGTCATGTAAATTTGTACTGCTAACAGGTGGGATAACTAGAAACTACGTAATTTGTGACATAAATGATAGCTAAATCAAAAGGAAGCTATTGTCTGAAAATGGGCTTCTTTTTGCAGAAATCTAGGATAGGTATCTGGAGGCCTGCTGAAAGCTTTGCTTCTAGTGAAGTGGCTGTATAGCAGTGACAGACTTCTGATACAACTATCAAATATAAGCGCTATTGCATTAGCGTAGTTATGTCTAGGCTTAAAAAACACCTACATTTGAGGCAATCCATCTATGCAGAAAGTTGTAACACCTCATGGCAGCAGCATAAATTAATCTTTAAGTTGGCTAAAGGAGGATACCTTTTACATAAGTGAACCTCTGCAGAGTGCAAAAGCAGACAACAAATTACACAAAACTGAACATCAGCTCTCAGTGCAATGGTAAAAGAAATACACTCCCCCCAGCTATTGAGTGAAAAGTAGAAAGGGAAAAAAGGAAACTGACAGCTGTTTTCCAGGTACTTATTTATAGCAGACTTTCCAGTTTCCAGTTTAGTTCTGTGTTTCACTTAAAACATCTGTGGGGAATTTTGTAGAAAAAAACATGTAAAAGCATTTTGTCTTTAGTAACGATTAAATTTTCTGACTATTTTGAAGTGAATCTGCCACTTAGCTTGATTTAAAGGTTTTGGTAAATAAAACCATCTCATTATCTTTGTTCCCAATGACCCTAATAGCAGAATAATGCGGCATTTTAAGCCTTCCATGTGGTTAAATCCACTGAAATCTTACACATAAGCTATATGTGAAGCAGTTAGGTTATAATTCAGCAAAGTTATTAAACGTTAAGTACTTCTGTTAGGCTTATGAAAGCTACAGTCCAATATGAGCCCAACATCTCAGATAATGGAGGTGGGGTCACTGTGCCATCAAAGGCAGCAATCAAGCATGCTTCCCTCCAGTACCAGTACACAAACAGAAATCCTCTCACTTTTAATGAGAGAGGGTAAGCCTCGGAGACGGCATCAAGACTGCAATGGGCAGTTGATTTTGCCTGCCTATTGCTGTTCTAGCAGCCAGAGGCTGCCATGATAACAGAGATATCACTGCTTAAATACCTTCTTGGAGCATTGCTGCCTTGGGTGTCTGTCTTCCCTGGTAAAGCAATACTCAGAAAAAGGGTCAGGTGGTTAATGCAGTGTTTTTCGATACAAAGGAACAAAGGGTATGTCCCTTCTCTGTTTGTACTAAAGTGATTAAGGATTCAAGGATGAACTTATATTTTCCACTGAATCATACACAGTAAGAGATTCGGTTCTGAGTCTCTCACACCCCAGATCAGTACTCCCTTCAACAGATTTTTTTTTTTTTTTGGCAAAAACCACAGTAAATGTGTGGGTTTTTTGCTCACATGTACAGCAAAGCTGGTTTTAGCAATTTAGAAAGTTATCATGAAATGGAAATTATATCCTCTGGTCATCTCTGTAACAAAGAGAGGCAATTCAGAATTAAGATTGTGCTTAATGTGAATACAAATATGATAAAGTAAAAAAGGAAGAGTTAAATAGCAGCACTACAGATAAGATTGTTAGGGTACATTTGTTAACAGCAATTTCTGACTTGTGTTTCATGGTGTTTCATGCCACCTGGACCCCACATGCACTCGTTCTCAAAGGAACACATCTCGTCCATTGGATGTATCACAGTTCTTCACTGGCTTTCGACTACCTGACAATCCTCACTTTCCAGAAGACAGGCAGTCTCTCCCTTTCTGTGGGGTTGCTGCTTGGCTCAGTTTTTTTGTTGTTGTTGACATGATCAAACAATAACATTTATTTCCATTACCTTGCTAGGGTATATGTTGCAAATCACGTAGCTGCATTTCCATTTTTTCCCTGTTTTGAATATTTCATCAGATTGAATCAGAATTCTTAGTAAAAGACATTTAATAGCAAGAAATGATGAACCAGTTTTATTAAACAAACCACATTTAAGAGTTATGATTTAAGTAAAAAAAAATGTGATAAAAAGCTTTACAAGCACTCAGAAAGCAACAGACCTGAGGACCTTATAAAATAAACTCATAGGTAGGTACGTAGGTGAGAAGCCAGTTCACGAGTGCAGTTAAGCCATTTGTAATCTAATAGAATCAGCGATATGCTGTATGTAACACTATGGTCAAAACAGAGAATTTTATGGGGCCTGGAGTATTTCCTCTTCCACAGTTGTTTGGTTACAGATACCAATCTCATCGTGAAGCTGACTGCCAAAATAGCCTAAGGGCTATTAAACACTCTGAGATATCCCAAGGAAAAAAAAAATATGGGAAGTATTTTACAAACTGTTGACAAAAGACACACAAACAGTCATAAGAAAAGACATGAAAGTTGCTGAGAAGCTTCTATTCAAAGAAAGAAAGTAAACAAAGAAATAATAGCACTTAAAAAAAAAGTAAGAATCATCTTGTATTAATGAGGCCTATAATTATTGCAATAGATAAAATGGGGCATAGAGAAGTAGAACAGTTTCTTTTGTACAGCAAATCAATAACATTATGTAATTTTTCAAATTTCTCCCTACTTTTACCATAAGAGATTTTTCCTCTTTAAGAAAAACTATAAGTAACATTACAGGTAAGATGTCCTGAAAGGATACAAGTGTGACATTAGACCATGTACAGATTAATTTTACATAGAAATATGTAGTTTGGAAAGGAGTAGAACTGAACTTTGATTCAGTTTTAACTATAATTAAGATACATGTATTTATTCTTCATTTCGTAGCTTTGGTGGAAGATGGTGTTCAATGGCTCCAGAAGAGAACAGGTAGCACGTATAGCCTTTCTGGGAAAGGATGCCTCTAACCTGTCCTTCTTTCCTGTTTCAGCCCAGTATCTGATAGCAGCCCGTTCACCTGGCATGGTGTTCTCATTCTTGGCCTACACTCAACCTTACGCCAGCCCTCCGGGGTCCCTCGTGCCATCGTACAGCGGTGTCTCTGCTGGGGACCTTGCCAGAGGCAGTACAGAATACCGTGCTGGCAACACAGGCAATGGGGTTTTCTCACGCATTTTAAGAGAATTATAGTAGTTCAAACTGTGATAAAAGTTACTAAAAAAAGTTAAGGTGGTTTTCATGAGATAGAAGTTGCAACTACAGAAGCATACTAAGGATTTAAATGCTATATCAACACATAATTAAATTTTGCCTTTCCAAATTTGTTTTGTTTCCATGTTTTAGCAAGGGAATGTAAATTTTTAGGAAAGGGTCACAGAGTCACATAAAATCTGGGATTTTATAGAGTCATTTATAAAGTCATGTTTCCCTGGTGCACATGGGCATGCTTCATGAACTGCATGATTAGAGGATACCAGGCCTTCTCTTCCAATATTTAGGTTGACCACTTAATTACAGATCAGTTTCCTTCACAATTTCTCCTATACATTGATTCAGGAAAACTGGCTAGCTCCTGACAAGTAATTTATCTTTTCCATTTCCTTTCAGTTTGGCTTTTTATTGGAAGGGACATCTAATCTCCCTGCCTGACCAATAACAAATTTTGTTTCCCTAAGATGTGTGGAGAGATGGGGCAAAGGGTGAAGGGAAAAATCGATGTGAGGGAATAGGCTGGAATACCTACCAGAGGAAATGCTGGGGGGTAAAGATCCACCCCCTGACACTGGATGTGAGGCCAGGATGCTATTTAAAAATCCCGCCCTCAGGAATCTCGAAAGAGACTTCACCCCAATGGTCGGAAAGGATCCTTTCAAAGAGATAAAAATGATCATTAATCAAATGACTTGTTCTTTGGCTGATAAAAGAAGTTGACTTTTTAAAGAAAGAATAACCAAATCTCTGCAACGTTAACAGTGGTTTCACTGGAACAGATCTTATAAAAAGCAGTTAAAAGTCTTTGTTTGCTTTTTAACCAAGTCATACAATACATAGCTTTAACCAGAAAGAGGTTGTTTTCTGCATACTTCACAAATGGAGAATTCCAGCACTTCTAGGAGGAATGGAAAAAATTGATATTTTAAAGGCAAATTACACCTATTGGATATTCATAATACATTCCAAATGACTCTACCATAGAGGCATTTTACAGTTTTGTATACAAATCTAAGAGAGATCAGTAGAGGTGAAGCTATACCAGCAAAGCTATGTTTTATACTAGTATTTTAAAGCCACCTGACAAACCACCTGACAAAATTCATGTCAGGCAAAGGGAGAAGGGGAACCAGAATTTGCAGTCATATTACTGACTTCTGGGTCAGGGCAGCTACGTCAGTCAGAGCTTCTATCACGTCTCACAACGCCTGTCAATATATTGATGCAGGCAAAAGCCAGCAGAATAGACTTGGCCTGTTTCTGCTTTGCTCTCATCAGAGGTTTTACACTTTTTACGCTTTCAATAGAATACACTCTATGTTCTTCTCATTGCCCAAATGTAGAGTTTTATTTCTGGAAACAGAGATTATCTCATCCACCACTTTTAAAATGAGTACTTGTGACATACCTATTATAGTGATGATAAATAAGGACTCTCTATCATTTGATCGACTGTTTCAGCTTTCAGCATATGTACAGAGATCTAGAGGCATCATTTCAGCTAGCTCATGTTAGTGCTCAGTGAATGCCAGCATCAAAGATGGATCTGAAATGAGAGCTCTACACATCTTGCTTAAAAGCACAGAGGCAAGATTCTCCCATCTTGCAATAAATTTAAATTGACAATCAGAATATTTTGTGTATTTTTGCAAGTACATCAAGGAAGCATCCATCCAAAAATTTAGGCAATGGCAAGTTTGTTTTCATCATCTTGCAGGTATTTCATAGTTGTTCTTTTAAGAGATAGAAAACATCTTAATATTTATATACAATGAGAAAAATAAATGGCCCTCTTAAAATTTATGCAACAGTTCGTGTTTTTTTTTTAACTAATAAAAATGTAGTGAGGAAAATTTAGCCTCAAAACACACATATGTGTTTGCTGAACTTAAAGTAGCGTAAAAGAGCTTTGAATTTTTCTCTTGTATTTTCAAGCAAGAGTTCTATTGTTTCTCCTCAATACATTCCTCCCTTGCCCTTTAAATTTGTTATTAGACCTGTTGCAGTCTGTGGAAAAAGAATTCATTTAATTAGTGTTCTGGATGCAGTATTTTTGTATCTGATGGTTAAAGATAAGGCATAAAAGTTTTCCCTCTGGCCACTCCAGAAAAGCCTAACTTTGGCAGTCTTGTCAAGGTGTTTTCAAACTCTATGGCTTTCATTTTAAAATATTTTCAGAAGCGATCATGGATAGAGAGCCCAGAATGCAACACACAGAAATTCAATTTTAAAATGGAAAATTGTTCCATAAACTCCAAGATGTTTGGTACTAAACAGCATCTTAAAACATGAAGGCTAAATAATGCACATGTGAAGACTTCCCAAATAAAACTTTGCTTCTCTGTTTCAAAATATGAATTATACCAACCATAAAGTACACCCACTGTGAGTCACATGCCATATGTACAGACCTTCAGAAAAGCCAAACAGCTTGAGCTTCACCATTGACATTTTCCTACATTTAACTGGTGTTAAATGGCAAATAACTCAAGTTTCCTAGCAGTGTTACAAGAAGTTACTTTGTTATAGAAAGTAATGGAGACAAAACCAAATTTATGTCACTTATTGTACACATTCAGAAATTAAAAGAAGGCACAGCAAATTTTGGAGCAACACAATCTGTGAATACTAAGAAGAGAGTTTGAGTGCTAAATTTATTGAGGCTTTATAAGCAGCAAATAACTAAAGGAATACATATAAATAAAGTTTTTCTCTCACTGAAAAAGTTAGGAATCAGTTGCCTAAGCATAAATGCTTTGTGTCATTTGAGACACTGTAGAAAATCTGAGACATTCACATTTGAGTGGCAGACATGACAAGATCTGCAGGAGATTTGCACTCTTTGAGAGTGACAGCCAGAGGCAAAGCAGCAGTTGAGTATCTAAGAGTAGGCATTTAGTGCCATTTTAGGCAACTGAATCCCATCCAAACAGTCCACTGTCACCTTAAAAATGTCTCTGATTAAGTAGAATACAGTTACAAGAACAAGACCCCATTTAGTCTCTTCTAGAAGTCCACAAACAGCTTCTGAAAGGGACAAGGTTGATAACATCCAGTTATCCAGCAACATCAAAATCCAGACAAAAAACAGGTTGAAAGTTCATTCATGTTAAAACGTGCATGGTCCTAAACTAAAATATAGCATATGCCCCAGGATGAACAAATGGGTGTTTTTGGTATTATCACCTGCACAATGTATTCACATTGTGGGTTTGAGACGCTATTACATGACTATATATGTGGCAGTTGACTATCATTGCAGGTAGTTGGGAAAGAAAATTAATTCCCTTAAGTCCCATCAATTGCCACCAGAAGGACAGAGGTCTAATAAGAGCTTTGGGCATTTACAGTAACTTAGATGCTTTACTCAAATTTTCACTTTGCGTAAACACTCATGACATTTGAAAGAAAATCTGCAACAAAAAGATTGTGTTCAAGACAGAAAGGGAGAAAGCTCTCTGCTAACACAGCAAACAAGGGAGGTGGGAGCATGCTATTAAAGAGAAAACTTCGGCTCAGAAATATTTCTCAGAAATACTATAAACTTCTGTGTGGAAATCAATGAAAAGAATTGCATTTCCTTTTTTCTGACCATGTTTGGTTTTTTTTTTTTTTTTAAAAAAAAAAAAAAAACCATATTTTTTTTTTTAAAAAAAAAAAAAAAACCATATTTTTTTTTTTAAAAAAAAAAATATGGTTTTTTTTTTTTTTTTTTTTTAAAAAAAAAAATATGGTTTTTTTTTTTTTTTATTTTAAAATGAAGTTTTTTTTTTTTTTTATTTTAAAATGAAGTTTTTTTTTTTTTTTTTTATTTTAAAATGAAGTTTTTTTTTTTTTTTTAATTGTACAATGAAGATGTAGTCTTTCTTCTTTTTCCAGTTGGAATCATGCTTAGCTAAAGAAAAAGTCCACCCAAAATGTGCCTGCTGCTTTATATCCTGCTGCTTTACACTCCAAATTGCAAAAGCAATATTAATTTTTTAGAGGTTTATGCTAGCAATAGAAATCTTAATGCTTAATTTAAACAATCTCTTTAAAGCAACCACACTGGACACTTGCAAGATGCTAGGATATTATTTCTTTAGCTAACCACCTTTCTTGAGAAATGCCATTCTGTCAGTGCACATTACACAGAGACTAGTGCTTTACACCCATCCTGTTGTTTTGTGTAAAAATCAACACTCATTAATTTACCAGCGGGTGGACTTACGCTAATGGGAAGAGTTTGTAGTATAAGGTCTTACTGGTTCTAAACTGGGAAAAGGAGACATGAATATTAAGCCACAATTCCTGAATGCACTGAAATAGTTATTTAGCAGTTTACAGGCATGGTTTTATTAAGAAAAAACCCCAACCTCTCCCTCCTCCGCAGTTATACACTATGAACATCATGCCACCTTGACATGGGAAACTACATTAGTTACAGATATTAGTTGGAAAAGTGCCTTGAAACAGTAAAACTGTATGGCAACACTCTGAATAGCTGACAGTTCATGAAGTATCCACCATTTCCTGAGTTCTGTGATACTAGTTTATAACTCGGCATAAATTCTTCTGTTTCGCAATTATTACAGCTAAGTGCCTGTGCTCAGAGGCAGTGGGGGAGTACTGAATCAATTAGCCTGCCTTCCTCCTTCATCTTTTGTTCCAGGGGGAATATCATCCCACAAGTGGTAGAATTTGATTGGGAAATCACTGGTATAGCAACCTAAACTGGCATGGTTTTAGTAGCGTATTATCACACAGAGCAGAAGGGCAAGAGCAGATAGTTGGGTAAAAGGAATACTTATGCTTAGTTCAGCTCCAGAGCACTCACATTAATTCACACACATGTAATAGCACTCGCATCATGACAGCACGGCCAGCCAGAAGGAACAGCCGTTTCTCCCCACAGCAAAGGCACGTCCCACAGCCTAGGGCTAGCAGCAACGTAACTGTGCTGAAGAGTCCTAGATCTACAAAGGAGAGAAAGTTCTGCCACGTGGATCAACAAAAGTACTGGACTGATGAATGAATGGACGGATGAAGGGAATTGGCACCAAACACACCCGGTGCAATACCGGTGGAACACAATGGACTAGAGTGAAACAGGTAACTTTTGTTTGAATGGGGGGTGGAGGGGCCCTTGTAAGCTATAGTGAAAAGCATTTAAAAGGAACTAACTAACTTGCACTTTAAAACTCTCAGGGGTCGAGCAAGCTGAGAAACGTTAACCTGACCCATTATTTTTGCTGCTGAGACTTCGCAGAAACTTCCAGGAGAAGACCCTCAGAATTTTTCACAGAAACTGAACGCAGTTTTATTCTATTAGTGACAGTACCTACCCACTCACATCTGCTGACTTGAGTGCAAACGTTCCCACCAGTTTTGCTCCCATATGCAGTACAGTGCCAGCGCAGCACCGGCCATCCTCAGGGGTCTGCATCCCACCCTCTCCTCTTCGCCAGCTGCTGGCGTCTTTGCCCTACTGCCATCAGCAGCACTTGAGCCGATGCCACGGCAGCCTCTGAGCCAATGCCACGGCCGCCTCTAGGCCCCGCAGGACTCACAGGGATGGGATCTGAAGCTGCTAAATCGTGCAGGTACAGGCAGGCAGGGCCATCAGCTTGTTCCATTTGTGCCAGGGTCCCCGAGCCATACTGGGAGCAAATTAAG